GGGGAGGAAAAACTGCCTTTAAACGGGCAGAAACCTCCGGCAGAACCAGGCTCAGGAGGGGGCAGTCAACTGCCAGGACTGGTTGGGGGGGTGAACAGAAGCGGAGCAAGACGAGGCTACATCAGTTGAAGAAGCAGTATTGTCCCTCTTCCGGAAAAAGCTGAAGAATGTTTTCTTCTTTTTCATGGACTTTTCCACGAGGGCCTTTTTCTCCAAGATGAGGGTTCTCAACTCATCGATGGTTTCGGTGTTTTGCTTCTCAAGTTTCTTGCATGTTTGTTCCACCTGTTCTAATGTAGCTTGTGTTTCTTCAAGCTTTTCTTTGAGGTCTTTGGATGTTGCCTCCTGTGTTAGCTTTGCCTTCTGCAGGTCTGCATTTCTCACTTCATCTTCTTTGTGCATGCCTTCTAACTGCTCATTTCTTTTCTGGATATCGTGGAGCAGACACTGCAGGTCTTCATGCGTTTTGTCTTGCTTTTGCTTTTGGGCCTGCATTTCTGTGTTTTCCCGCTTCAAGTTGTTGAATTCCAACAATATCCCCTTAATGAGCTCTGAGTTGTTTTTCGCCATTTGATCGATCCTTTTCTGCATATGTGAGCATCGTTTTTCCAGTGTTTCCTTTTCTACCTCCAGCTCACTTGTTTTGACCTTCAGTTCATTACAGAATTCTTGCATTTTTTGATTTTTACTCTCAAAGTCCTTGATAATGCACTTTTCTTCTGCCAGTCGTTGTTGCTGTTGCTCTTTCTCCTGAAGGAGGTCTTTATTTTGGCACAGTGTTTGATCCAACCTTACCTTCACCATTCTGTACTTTTCCTGCATGTCTTGGAGTTCACGCTGCAGGTCATTTTGCTTTGTGTCCTGTTCTTCCTTCTGTTGGAGGACTTCTTTATTTTTTTCTTCAGCTTCATCAAGCTTTCTTTGGAGCAGGTGATTCTTTTGGTCCATATATTGGAGATCCCACTCTATCTTATCAATCGTCGCTTTCCTACCTTGAAGCTGCTGGGACATTTCTTTAACTTCAGCACTCTTTTTCTTGTTTTCTTTGATGAGGAATACAATCTGCTCTCTGGCTTGAGCAAACTTGATCCCCCAGCCCTCATTAATAATGTTGATGTCGGGCTGGCGCTGTAGTGTTTCTTCCAGGTGTTTGTTTTGTGCTTCCATTTGTAAGCACTTCTTCTCCAGGTGAAGTTTTTCTTCTTCAATTTGTTGAATTTTCTTCTGGAGATGGTTGTTTTCATTCCTACTCTCCTGTAATGCCCTTTGGATGGA